CAACTGGACTTAATGTCAGGGGAAAACCTTTATCTTTACCTTTTATCATGAACTAGCTTGGGGACCCGGCGCTGCCCGAGTTATTAGAGAAAGGAATTGTATATCAAGGTTGGTGTTTATCAGTTATTTATATGGCTCGCAGTGGTCTCAGGAAGTTAGTGAAGGTACTGTTAGTCCCATCATCTGTGGTCCATCGTCCTCCAAACTGCACCAGGATGGAGAGAGGGTCATGGGGGCTCTGTGTGCTAAGTTTGGTCTTGATCAGTCATTGGATGAGGGTCACAGCAGTCTCAGAAAGTGAGTTAAGGTACTGCAAGTCCCATCATCCATAGTCTCCCTCAAACATCACCAGAATGTTGAGTTGGCCATGGGGGCTCTCTGTGCCAAGTTTGGTCTTTATTGGTATTTGGATGAATGTCACTGTGGTTTCAGGAAGTGAGTGAAGGTACTGCAAGTCCCATCATCCATTGTCCGTCCTCCTCCAAACAGCACCAGGATGTAGAGTCTCTCATGGGGGCTCTGTGTGCCAAGTTTGGTCTTGATTGGTCATTAGATGAGGGTTGCAGCAGTCTTGGGAAGTGAGTGGAGGTACTTGAAATCCCATCATCCATAGTCTGTTCTCCCCCAAACCTCACCAGAATGTTGAGTTGGCCATGGGGGTTCTGTGTGCCAAGTTTGGTCTTCATCAGTCATTGGATGAGGGTCTCAGTAGTTTCACTAAGTGAGTGAAGGAACTGCAAGTCCCATCGTCCATGGTGCATCATCCTCCAAACCGCACCAGGATGTAGAGTGCATCATGGAGACCTGGTGTGCCAAGTTTGGTCCTTATCGGAAATTGGATGATGGTTGCAGTGGTCTCAGGAATTGAGCGAAGATACTGCAAGTCCCATAATCCATGCTCGATCCACAGTCAAACCACACCATAGCGTAAAGTGGGTCATGAGAGGTCTATGTGCCAAGTTTGGTGTTGTTCAGTCATTGTAGAGGGTCGCAGCAGTCTCGGAAAGCGAGTAGAGGTACTTCAAGTCCCATCATCCATAGTATGCCCTACTCCAAACTGCAGTAGGATGTAGAGTGGGTCATGGGGGCTCTGTGTGCCAAGTTTGGTTTTGTTCGGACATTAGATGAGGGTTGCAGCAGTCTTGGGAAGAGAGTGGAGGTACTTGAAGTCCTATCATCCATGGTCTGCTCCTCGAAAGTACACCAGGATGTAGAGTGGGTCATGGGGACTCTGTGTGCCAAGTTTGGTCTTGATCAGTCATTGGCAAGGGTCTCAGTGGTCTCAGGAAGTGAGTGAAGTGACTGCAAGTCCCATCATCCATTGTCAAATTCTTCCAAACCGCACCAGGATGTAGAGTGGGTTATGCGGGCTCTCTGTGTAAATTGTGGTCCTGATCCATCATTGTTGGCAGTTATAATTGTTTTAGGAAGGGAGTGCAGGTATTGCAAGTCCCATCGTCCATGGTGCATCCTCCTCCAAGCCGCACCAGGATGTAGAGTGGGTCATGGAGACTCAGTGTGCCAAGTTTGGTCTTTATCGGTAATTGGATGAGGGTTGCAGTGGTCTCAAGAATTGAGCAAAGGTACTGCAAGTCCCATAATCCATGGTCCATCCCCGGCCAAACCACACCAGGACGTAAAGTGGGTCATGAGAGGTCTATATGCCAAGTTTGGTCCTGATCAGTCATTGGATGAGGTTAACAGCGGTCTCAGAATGTGAGTGATGGTACTGCAAGTCCCATCATCCATGGTTCATCCTCCTCCAAACTGCAGTAGGATGTCGAGTGGGTCATGGGGGCTCTGTGTGCCAAGTCTGGTCTGTATTGGTAATTGTCTGACTCAGCCCCTGGCCTTTTCCTTTCCTCTCTTTGTCATCTCGGAATCTTGGAATTGAGGCTGGCCAATCAGAGACCATATGCAAATTTCCTTCTCATGTCCCCGTTTCTGTCATGAACTCTTTTCTCCACCAGGGGCTCCTCTTGAAGCTGGCCAATCAGAGACCATATGCAAATAGCACCACAGCGGCAGCCAATCAGAACGCTGGCACATACTCCTCCCGCTACACTTTTGTCCTCCGCATATAAGTTTTGACTTTTATTATATACATAGATAGTAGCCTTCAAATGATGGTCATATACCAGCCCATCTTTTAAATATATTTCTACATAACAATAGCGTTCTTGCCATTTAATAAATACTTTTAACTTTGTTTTTGGGAACCATCCATTTATTTCAGTATGTGTAACTCATATTGCTGCATATGTAAAAAAAAGAAACAACTGTAACTAGGGCTTGCAACATCCATTCTGTAGGTGAAATTTTTGCCTTTGCCATCATTCTATGTGATTACCACAGACGCTGCCATGAAACTTAGCTTCAAAAGCAGAACTGTCAGTAGTTTCCTTGATGTCCAGCAAAGTATCCAACATTTCTTATTTTAAAAATAACTTTATTTTTAAAAGTTTTAAAAGTTACATGAAAAGTTGAAAAAGTGGATCAAGAAAAGAAATAGAGAGTAAAACCACAAAAATGCCACAAAAAAAAAAAAGAAGGAAAAGAAAGAAGAGATAAGAAAATGAAAAGTAGATGACCTCTTATCAACAGAAAACAACATAAGCTTCACCCTCTAGGGCTCCAAATGTTGAATGCTTTCACAAACAAACAACTCCCCTCAAATTATTCTTCAAAATTCAAAATTGGCAAGTCCTTCTCATCCTCATGCAAAAAGTGAACAAAAGGAGTAACCAACATTTCAGATGCTGAACTTTTCTCACTTCCAGTCCCTGTGATCATGTTCCTTTACATCTTCATCATTTCCCATCATTATATTTCTTTTATCAACAAAACCTCTACTATGCATTATCACAGAGATCTCTGGTGTGAAAAGACTCTGTGCTAGCTCTAATACCTTCTTAAGCACATGTGTCAAAATCAGCACCCAAGGGCTGAATCCAGAGACATCTGGACACATTTATGAGCTTGTAGCATTTTGAATTCTCCTGCTTGCATTTCTTGAGTGTGTATGTTTGTTGTTATTTTCGGAACATGATCAACAGATGAGAATGGTGTGTGATAAGGTGTCAGGTTATTTAACAATATGTTCAGGAATAGGTACAGTCTTACAATTACCAGCAGCCCTTTGAAGGCAACAATAAGACTGATGTAGCCTTGAGTGAAAATGTGTCTGACATACCTGATCTAAGGCATCTACAAAGTATTTCCCCTTACCTATTGGCATAGTTGTAATGTTTCATGTTGACAGTAGCATTCTCATTCAATTATTTGAATTGGGGTTCATTCATGACTTCATACGTGGATGACTTCTCTTCAATATACTAGCTTGGGAACTTATATAAATATACAATGAACTGGGTACTGGGTCCATTGAAAGTACCAGTGTCTGTGCAACTGAGGGCTGTGTGTGTGTGTGCGTGCGCGCGCGTGTGCAGTTATAAACACAATTTTTCCGAGGCATTTTAAAATGGCAGAAGTGGTACCACAGTGGAGAGGAGTTCAGTGCTGCTTTCGGGTTCTCACACAGTAGACCAAGTTCTTGCTTGTTACCATTTTATTCAGAGAAGGGGGTGGTTCCTTTTCCCATAAGAGTTAAAGTTTGGGTTGAGCCATTGATAAATTGACCCTTAGTTTTTAAAATTAACTTTGATTAAAATTTCTAGACTTATACATAAGTATGTATAGGAAGCCCCATTTTTATTTATCATATCAGAAGCAAACCAAGGGTGCAGTTGTAATGTATTTTTTTAAAAAAACACTAAGTTAAAAAAATGGTGTTATACTAAATGTCCTTTGACCAGTAACTGGCCACTTGGAGTGCCTCTGGTGTTGCTATAAGAAGGCCCTCCGTTGTGCATGCGGCAGGGCTCAGACTGCATTGTAATAGGTGGTCTGTGGTTTGCTCTTTTCCACACCCACATGTCATGGACTTCACTTTATGGCCCCATTTCTTAAGCTCCAATAAATGTGTATTTTAAAAAATGGTAAGTTCAACTGAAATGTGTGTAGAACCTAAAAAAACCCCAATTTGATAGAATTCCTGAATAATTTAAGGTTTTAAAAATGTATGACAAATTAGAAAATATTATTTAAAAAATCCTGTTGTAGAAAGGAATCGGCCATATATGTTCTGATACAATTGAAATGTATCAGAAATTATTTGCCACATTTCATTAACATTAGAATTTATTTGGGTTAATCTATCTAGTCAATACATATAGAATATATAGGGGATTTTTTCTGTTGATACACGTTTCATTAGTATAAAACAGAACAAAATTATGCCACTTCTGCTTAAAAAAACATTAGTTCATTTTATTAGCCAATAGTTACAACAATATTTGCATATGCAGGCAAAATACTGAAATATGGAGAACTATTGGAGAACTATTAACTGAATTGCTTGGACCTCCAAATGACAGGAATTTCCTGTCATCTCCTATTATTTACAGACCTCAACAAGATGAGCTTGGGAACTTACTATTTCGGATTACAACACTTACAGTCCCCCATGCAGTATGGCCAATCTAATCTGTTTTTCTTTGGGGTGGGTAGGCTTGAAACAGATCTGGGGCTTGATAGAGGCTGAAAGGAATTTCTGTTCTGCAGGTAGAAGGATACATTGGTTTACAACTCTGAGGCAATGTAAAGGTGTGGTATGTTGTATATTACATACCCATGCCATTTGTGCTTTCTGCACAGAAAAGAACTCACATCTAAATGTTGTTGTCAGGAAAGAAAGATGTTTTGGTGAAAGTTTTCTGGTAGGCTTACCAAAAATTTTGGTGGGCTGACTTGTCTTTAAATAAAATTTTTTTAGTAAGTACAATGCTGAATCTTTCACCTTTTTGTGGTTTTTTTCCTTAAAATATTGAGTTTTCATGTTAGTTTCATCAAATAAATAAACTGAAGACTGCTCAATTAGTCATGCTAAAGTAATTTGCCCATCAGCACATTAATATTTTAATTTCAATTTTTATTTCCAGGCAAACCATATTCCTCTCAGAGGCCTCGGCCAACCAGCCCATTTTCAACTGACAGCAACACCAGTGCAGTCCAGAATCAGAGTCAAAGGCCTAGGCCTACCAAAAAACACAAGGGGGGCAGAGTGGAACAACCTCCGTTGCCTCATCGTAGGGAAGGAATGACAGATGGTAAGTTCTTGATTTCCAGTTATTAATGTGGTAACTGTTAAAAGATGCATCTCAGTTTACTGTGCCAGGTTGCATAAACAATTACATTAAGGAGCATTTGTTTTCCACTACTAAGTAATCTCTCAGCCAGTTCAGGAAGTAGCAACAACATGTACCGTTTAACATAGATTCTGTGTGTAGCAACATAAATAACTCAAACATCATGTAAGTTAGCTCAACAGAATAATTTTGCTAAAAAAAAATTGTTTTTAAATGCAAAGATGACATTTTTATTACCCCAATTCTTTTCCTATTTCTTTTTCCCATTTGATATTTATACCCTTACAGTTCAAGCTAATAATGTGAAATTCTAAACGTGAATCATTACAATTTTTTATAGTGCAAAAGTGCCTTCCAAACTGTGGCCACAATTTCTCTCAATTTTTAAAATTAGAATCAGTTCTTGAGTAGCATCGATAACAAATATTATGTGACTACAGGGCCCCTTCCATCAGTTCCACACCTTTTGAATGTGATCTGACAATCACAAACAGTAGTAGAAACATAAAATTCAAATGTTGTAAATTATTCCTACTTGACTTCAGCCGAAGATTTATTGACTGAAATAAAGGCTACTGACAGAGAAACATAAAAACTTGGTTACCACATCATGGACTTAACAAAGCAGGAAGCCCTGTTATCATAATTAGCCTAAGAAGTGACTTCTTAGAAATGTGCTAATTGAGTCCTTCTCCTACTCCTTTAATTACTTCACATAATCAGAAGCCAACAAAATTTAGGGTTTTCTTTCTTTCCAAGAGCTGTACATACACTTGGAGGCGGGGAGAGAGCATCTACACTTGCTAGAAACAGGGATTATGATCTGAAGTGGGTACTCTGGATTAGCACCACATGGTCTGCACAGCCAAGCATTGAGCTGCCTGAGGGTCTGGTGATGTCCACACTGTACAACCCCATGAGTATCCTCTGTTATAAATTGACATTTCCATTGAAGCACACAAGTAGCAGGTTGCCAACTTTATCCTGTTTTAAAACTCTGTGCTAATACCTTTTGAGTGACTATGGGTAATCTTTCATATGGTTGCACTAATCTACAGTGGATGAAAGTGGAATCTACTTAGGCTCTGGTCAGGTTTTCACTTTCACAGTTCCCTAATTACAGAATGCATGAAAATGCACAACTTTCCAGTAGTATTACATTGTTGCACTAATTAGTTTGCAGTTTTTTCTGCTGATACTGTGGTGTCATTAGATGCCTCTTCTGATGACATGGTTTGTTTCCAGTCAAAGAAAAAAGCTGCAATCTTACAATTAAGTGGTCAGAAATATTTTAATGAGTATTTGAACCTAGTGGGAATAGAACCTCACTGAAATAGGAAAAGGGCAGGCATAAGCAGGTAATTCTAGCTTCATGAAACAATATTTTGGATCAATAAATTTATTATTGCTTTGCCAATAAGAACTATATGGGCTCCCATTAGGTCTAGCCATGTGGTAAACTATCAGATTCGAATGAGAGTGCACTGAATTAATTGTATCCTCCTCCACTGTTGTCTCTTTTTATAGGGGAAATTGGTAAAGATATTTAAAGATCCCTAAGTTTAGGATAAGTAAAATAAAGAAAAAAGAACAGTGTTGTCATGTATTTAAATTCCAAAATGAAATCATCATAAAATATCTAATGGTACAGTAATGTCTTGCATGTTCAGCTAAAGAAAGAACAGATAGTTACCTGGAGAACATGAGAGGAGGATTGAGTTAAATCGTTTATCCTCCTCACATTTACTATGCAAAGGTATGAATGAGAGTAAGAATAATTACTAATTTGCCCAATGATAATGATGTTATAGCACCTTTACCCTAAATTGGAATTCAAGGTAACCTTTGACAATATATTTTTAAATAGCCTATTCATTAAATTTGATACCAATATCAAATAATGATTATCTACAAATCATATTTGTCGATTGCCAGGGCTCAAAGTAGAACCCTGTAGATCTGGTTGTGCCATGTGATAAATAAGTACTGCCCATGGTCTTTCTCATCTGGAAGATCCAACAGTCAGTTGCAGTGAGTGGGGTTAATCCAGAGTTTTTGAACCCTAAAATGACTGGTATATGCCACAATAAACACACTGAACTATCTCACTACACAGAATACTTTCACGCAGAAACAAAGTTTTCCATTAAGCACTGACCATGAACTGTCAATGAACACAAAAAAATAGTTCACAGTGTGGATTTCTCCAAAGGGACGATTCAGACCAAGGAGTAAAATATAATGATAAATACATCTTTTTAAGTTGCACAACTTAAAGATAGAACAATGCCTTGGATTTCCTGGGGAAATAATTTCTTTATTAGTTCACACTGTGGTTTATTCACCTGACCAATATTCAGAAATGGTTCAAAAGAATTATATGGACAAGGGCAGCAGGTGGTATACACATGTGAAATAGCCTTTTGTCTTGTTCCACATACGCACGATTCAGAATATTTCAGAACCTCTGTTTCTAAGATTATTTCATCACAATGAAAGAATCCTGCATGTTTATTTTGAAACAGCATGGGTAGAATGTTGTAATGCAACTATGTAATGTCCTTCTTCACCATTGCCAGGTCCAAAAATAAAAGGCAACAACCAAACCATTTATCTTAAGTATGTGTTCTCCCCTCACCCCAGAAAAGCTAACCTATGATGTATTTTCATACTTTGTTTCAAAAAGCAATTCATTTTTTAAACTTTGCAAATTTAGGTTGTCACTGTAAATATTTGTCACTGTAAACTATTTGTTAAGGTTAATAACAATATGAAATACAATATATTTAGCTTACCATACGTTTGAAATCAGCACCAAGTGATTCTTGAAAGGTTTAAATTTGTAATTGTTGAACTGATTTTTGAATATGTTCTCCTTGGGATTAACTGTATTGCAATCTAGGAAGATTTGGATTAATTTTAAAATCTACTGAAATTTGAATGCATGTTCAAATAGATCTACAAAACATTGTCAAAGATAGCCACCTTTTTTCTGGTAAAAAGAGTTTTAACTACAATTTGGCTGTTTTTTCAGTAGGAGTTTTGAAACTATTTTATACCAAATACAGCATCCAAACTGAAGTAAAATCTTTATCAGCTGACAATGCATGTAAAATTTGTTAGTTTTTGTGCCAAATGGAACCCAACTAAAATTACTGCTCTGGTAAGGAATATAGCTATTACATACTTCGATTAGCTATAGTGGAAAACATCTATCCATTGTCTAAAACTAGTAAAATATATAAGGTCTTTCTGACAGATAAATCTTTCAAAACCTTTTTTTGCTCTTCATCTTCAAATAGAATTTATGTCACTGATACTCTGAGTCTATTCACATCTTTTAGATCTACCACCACCACCAGACCCACCCCCTGGTCAGGGTATAAGGCAGCAGATAGGCCCTGGGCAACGTGGAGGTTCAACAGAGAGAAAAGGAAGCTCTCTAGAACGACAGCATACATCTACCATAGATGAAACAAAGAGCTCTTTGGATCGTCAAACTAGAACGTCACTAGAGTGGCAACGACAAACCCAAGAATGGATAAGCTCTACAGAACTCCAAGGCCAGCAAAAGCAAGCATTTGGATCAGGTGTGTAGCTGCACCTCTTAAAGTGGCTTAGGCAATTTCCTCAATATATTCTTTTATAAGATCCCAACAGGCAGTAAAGGTCAAGGCAGGACCAATAAAAGGTATACTATTAACATCTGACCTTCAGTGTTTGTTCCTGCAATGGTGAAGCTTTTGAATACACCTAAACTACTAAAATTCTAAATGCATGGCTTTGTGACTTACTAATGCTACTATATGTAGAGGGGGAATTGTATATTGCGCCTTTTATTATATATATATATATATATATATATATATATATATATATATATATATATGTATATGTATATATACATACATACATACACACACACACACACACACACACACACACACACACACACCCCACATATATTGATTGTGATTTTCTTTTTAAAATTCACTGGAATGGATTTTTTGCATGTACAGCATAGAGACACCTAATGTCCTCATGTCCCATCTGTATTGACAACACTGAATTCACAATAATTCTATTAATTCTTATTAACAACAATTTATTCGTATTTATTATTATGTTGCCCTTTAATAAGGTCAAAGTCAATTTGACGATTTCATTCATGTTGGGGAATGTTCAAACAACAAACAAACGATTTGCAGTGAACTTATCTGCAAGATAAAAATTCATCCACTAGACATTGTTTATGTTAACTTCATTTTAGATCTGAATTATTTCTGTTTCAGGCCCTCTATTTATTGGTATTGCTGGAATGATGTCTGTGCTGTTCTTCAAAGACAAAAAAAGTATATCAACTGAAACAATTATGATAAAAGAGAATGTATATAGAAGACATACATACTTATTTGATGCCTTGCACAATCTTAATGCTGTAAAATAATAATCCTTGGACTTACTACTTACTTAATTACTTAGACAATCCCTCGTTTGGCCTTGTAGATATTAAATATGCATGCATTAATATTATCCTGGGTTTTTTTCTAAATAGTTATTTTCAGATAGCAATTTTAGGAAAGTTATTATGAACAGCAAAGATGCATTTCAATTACTGATAATCTGTTACCAGAAATACATGCAGGTACTGTATTAGAATAAAAGGATTAATGTCTTGAATTATTGAATTGTAGCTCACATTAGAGTCAGAAAATTCTAGGGACAATAGATTTTTTCTATTTTAATTATACTGAGTATCATTAATTTATTAAGACAGAAAGTACTAAAGAGTTAGAATTTAAGTTAAGACAAAATATAGTTTGGAAATCTAGATATATTGCACTATCTATCAGAAAGAAAATGCGATTTATATTAGTAAATTAATTATTATTATTATTATTATTATTATTATTATTATTATTATACTACATTTATACCCCACCCGTCTCACCCTAATGGGGGACTCAGGACGACTTACAGACCATGGCATACAATGCCGCTTTACAATATAATAATAAACATGACATATCAATTTAAACAATTAGCATACCAATTTAAACATACAGTAATAAGCATGACATATCAATTGAACAATTCAAATATAAATACAATAAAAAGCTTAAAAGTAAACATTCAATCCCAACTGAAGTGGGCTGATGGAATAAGCGGCCAGAAGCAGCAGGCAACTGGTGAGATGGGAAACTCCTGAAAACAAGCACCCACACAATTATTCCAAAGTGTGGATGATGAGTAGCGTGGCCATTCAATTAGCTGCACGGTGAGGCTCCACTATGAAGGCACCCTGCACACATCTTGTGGTGGTCTGATGAGGGGTGGCACAGCCATTAAAGTAGCCATGCGACAAGGCTGCGGGGGCCATAGAGGCACCCCGTGCAGGTGTTCAGGCCACCAGGCAATGGGCAATGTGGCCATTAAAGTAGCCACGCAGCAAGGCTGTGGGGACATGTTGTCTCCTTGGAGGGTGCTGGATCAGCTGGCTGAAATGAGGGTGTAGCTGAAGGTCTCCTCATGGGTAAGCCCAGGGTTGAGCCGACAGCAAAGCTGAATGACAAATACTCAGACCCCAGGGTCTCTCCTCCAGCAGGGCCCAAAAAAGCTCTCCCATGCCTCTAGGTCAGTCCTTTTATGTTCTCTCCTTGGAGGCTGCTGGGTCAGCTGGCTGGAATGTGGGTGTGGCTGCTGGTCTCCTCATGGATAAGCCCAGGGCTGAGCAGGCAGCAAAGCTGGAAGGCAAATACTCAGGCCCCAGGGTCTCTCCTGCAGCAGGGCCCAACAAAACTTTGCATGTTCTGTTGTACAAATACACATACATGTATTGTAATTAGAAGAAATTTATGATTTTGCAATTAATAAATCTCTATCAGACTATAGAAAATCTAGAATTTGTGATCAACAGTAATGTTTTGCAAACCCACCAATTGCAAAAAAAACCCCATCATAATACTTTTGTTAAGGATTGCAATTATATGTCTTTGTCAACACGTCTGTTGCACTTGCTTCACTTTCTTCTAATTACAGTACATGTATGTGTATTTGTTCAACAGAACATGCATGCACTTGAAGAACTTTCTGAATTAGATTATAAACTTGTTCTGACACTTTGGGAAATGTGACACTTCAGTAGCAACATGTATATATGTGCAATAGTCAGAAACCTGTTACACCACTATTCTATAGGTTGCAGTTTTTCCAAGCTCATACACCAATGGTGATGAAAAGGAAACAAAATCTGGCAGCACCCCTTTTCTTCAGTGCCTTACTTCTATCATGGTCACTGTCCCCATAGCACTTTTCTCCTGCTGCATCACCCACACTGGCATAATGGATTTTAGTAAAATGAATGCTGATTTCTACTCCAGCTTGAACAAGTATCTCATTGCAGCAGCTGTACTTCTGATAATTGTTGACAGAAAACACGCTTCAAAACATATGGTGCATCTTGCAGCTTCTATATATCTCCTTGGGTTTTTTGATGTCATCAACTACATTGTAATGCTATATTAAGAATGATAAGAACAAGACTTCATCAGAGGTTTTCATGTGAAAAAGAACACGGTTGAACTGCAATTTTATACAGAAAAAATGTAATAGTAAATTTGTGGCAAACATCTTTGAACTGAATATGTCTATAATGATGAATACATCGTAACTCTTCAGCTTCTTTTTTACAATTTGGTTTTAGATTTATCCTTCTAATTCTGATGGGGGAGATGACACTTGAATTGCCACCATGAAATAAAGAGACCAGACACAAAAGTATTGAGAAAAAAAGGTCCACTTATTAACCTCATTAAATTAATTCCTGGGCAGCTAACTAAGTTAAGATAGGGGCGAAATGTGACATGAATCATGCCAGAGGGCCAGGTATCACTATGTGACCATCTCCTTGCCTACCTCTAGGTGAACACCTGGACCCAGGGGCAATCCACATGAAGGTTTGCTGGACCCGAAAGGCCATCCCAGGGGTACTCACTCCCAAGCCCCAGGACACTACAGAAGTGAGATAAACCCCATGTTTAGCCCCATTGTGGTATCATGCAGTCACACTTTGCCCTTCCCTGGAGTAGGGGCTCCTCAGTTTTAGAGGGGATAAAAACATCATTTGTCAAGTGGATCTAAGACCCTGCAGCAAACTAATTATTGGGCAGGGAAGAAACTTAGGAATAACAACAACAACAACAACAACTTTATTTTTGTACCCCACCTCCATCTCCCTGAAGGGACTTACATGGGGGCAAGTCTGAAATTCAACATAATTAAAATATAACAACAAAATTCATAAAAGCATTTCAACAGTATAAAAACAAACCACACACAATACCATACATGAGGAATATCTAACAACTTTTATTGGTCTGAGTAGTGCATAGTTCTGAGCTCGAGCGGGCTGCTGGTGCAAATCACTTGCAAAAGACCGGGCTGATGTATAAAGTGCTAAAGATGGATGACAAGGTTAAAAACTGGTTGGTAATGTAAGAAGAGCAACTATGTCTTTAGAAGGGAACAATTCTAAACTGCAAGCTCTAATTATGGATCAAAATTGGGGGCCAGAATTATTTGGGAAACTGACTAGTCAAAGGCATAGTGGAACAGCCACATTTTTAGTTTTAGAAAGAACCAGAGAGCTCTCTGCTCAGAAAGAAGTAAGATGCAGGTCTCTGAGAATGAGGAGTATGAGACTTTCCTGTTAATCCTCCCTGCTGATGACATGGGGGAAATTTGTAGCTGTAGAATTTATTACTAAATCACTAAAGTACTATGCATAAAGTAGCACTTAGGCTTGTATTTGTGCAAAGTAATCTTCTGTGAAATAACAAAAATGGTAGGCTCAATAAAAGCAAATGCAGGCTCTCAAGCTACCAGAATGCCTGGACAGTGACTCTTGACAGGCTTTTGAGAGCTGGGTAACCCAAAATATCTGGGGAGCCAAGTTTGACAAGCATGATGGTATTTTAGAACAAGAGTCTTGGCAGAAGTCACTACTTAACAGATCAACATACAGCAATTTAATTTCATGCATTTAAGTTGGAACTTACTATGATTAGTAGAAAATAAGTAAGACTTAGAAGTCTTAAAATGGAATCAATCTTACCCCTGGTTAGTCCTTTTAGGCAATGAATGTGACCTTGTCATAATAATAAAGTCTCAAAGACAAGAATTGTTTGTCTAGTTCAACTTTTTCTTCATATAATATAAAACAGTGAAGTAATTTCCCAAGTACTTGGTATTATAAAAAATAACACCAGGAAGCTAATTAAATCAGCAGATTCTGTAATTCTTTATCTTAACTGATTAAAGCAATGCTGTCATAATTGTAATAAAACAGGATAAAGCATTTCCACAAAACGAATAGAAATTATAATCTTTGTCTTACTGTTTTTCAAATTATATGCATATCTGTTTAATTAAGCAGTCTATGATTCATCATATTTTTCATAAGGATTTTCAATGTTTAGAATGCATAGACAAGAATTTTTGGGTTTCAAATAATTGCATTCTGTTGTTTCCAGTTAAGTCAGATTGAGAAAATTAAGCATATCCTGCAGTTTCTGCATATACCAGGAGGAGAAATATATATACAAGAAATATATCAGTATGAATCCCCCCCCCTCTCTCTCTCTATATATATATATATATTCCAATAATATAAATATTGGCTCATGTTTTCTACTGCTAGCTGATTCTTTCAATCATCTTAACCACCTGAACTATTGATTCCAATATTAAGTACAAAAATTGCATATCTAATGAGCTAAAAACATATAATATTGAGTCAGTTATCATCTAAGCAATTTTTAAAAAATCAAACATTATGAAACTTGGTTTGTTTTAAGTTGCCAAACAAATTTAAATAATGCACCCCTCTATTTTCTTGATATGGGAAGATGTAGGTACTCAAATTTTGACACAGAATAAAATATATGAAGGGCTGTAATCCCTAAAACATCCCACCAGATTTGATATCTAGAATACTGATTGACCAAGATACATGACATATTGACTGTAACGATCAAGGCTCAGCTATTGAGTATCAGCTGCTAAAAGACTTGTAAGGTGGAGTAACTCAAATCTTCTCATGTATTGCAAAAATATGAGATATTATGATGTTCAAAGATGTTTGATAAACCCACAGACTAACCATTATGTGAATACACATAAAATTACATGCCTGACTTTTTAAGAACTTCACCCTTAGATAGAGTACCCATATGTATACATTGTGTGCATAGGTATGTGCATAGAGAATCTTCAGTCAGTTGCTGAATTCATGGAAAGCTGTTGTATTAATAGGACTTGCCAATGTGGCCTCACAAACCATCATCCATGCTTTCAAAGCATGAATGGGTTGATACAAATCTTCCCCATGATCTTGGACTATTTGCATATCAAACATAGCTTTTGATTTTGTGGAGATATTGTAATTGATAAAATATACATTAGTTCTCAATTATACAAATGTTTCCTTTTCAGTATGTATATTTATAAATTCTTACATTTGTACATTTCCAAAGAGAAGTGTACAGATGTATTTGTTTTGTATACTTCGGGATGCTTCAAAATTTCACTGCCCACCTCCTCCTTTTGAAGGAGGCATCTAAACAATCTCAACTTATCAAATTTATCTTGTACTTAGAGCATCTTAGAGTACTTATGCAAAACATTGCAGATGAGGTATCCCACAACTTTCCTTTTAGTTAGAAAATTTTAAACTATATGTAAAACATTTCAGAAAGATTGTTCCAACTATATTTTCCCATTTGTATACAACATCTTCCTATTGCTTCCTTTATGTTTACAGAAGAGGCCCTGGTGCCATATAGCAAGCCTAGCTTCCCATCCCCAGGTGGTCACAGCTCTTCAGGTACAGCATCTTCTAAAGGATCTACTGGACCCAGAAAAGGAGAGGTCATGCGAGGAGGTCATCAGCGCAACACCAGTGACCTCATTGATGTAGGATATGTTGGAACAAACAGTCAAGGACAGTTTTCTGGTGAATTATGTAAGCCTTGTTTCAATTCATTATTTAAAAAAGAAAATAACACTCCTACACCTTGGAGCCCCCGGTGGCGCAGTGGGTTAAAGCGCTGATCTGCTGAGCTTCTTGACCGAAAGGTCACAGGTTCGATTCCGGGGAGCGGCATGAGCTTCCGCTATCAGTCCTAGCTTCTGCCAACCTAGCAGTTCTAAAACATGCAAATGTGAGTAGATCAATAGGTGCCACTCCAGCGGGAAGGTAACGGCACTCCATGCAGTCATGCTGGCCACATGAGGTGTCTATGGACAACTCCAGCTCTTTGGCTTAGAAATGGAGATGAGCACCACACCCCAGAGTCAGACATGACTGGACTTAATGCCAGGGGACAACCTTTACCTTTACCTTTACCTTTACAATTTAGGAATGGGCAGAAGAAATATTATGCTTTTCTATTCCTTAATAACATGGCTTTAATCTGAGATTTGCTTTTGTTCACTGGATATGTGAGTAAGTATGTAAGCACACAATAATGCCAATATTTATTTGGAAAGAAGCCAGTGGAGCTTTGTCCTATGAATATATATATATATATATATATATATATATATATATATATAGGATTGTTGTTTACATGATGCATCCATGGATACATTCGGTATTTTCTAAGCAGTAATCCAGGTATAGCGATGTTTTCATAATCTCTGGTTATCTATAATGCAATCGATATATCGATATATCTGTTCATTTACAAAATCTGAAAAGGAACACTTATACATTGCACCAAGTTGCATTGAGCATATCTTTACCCTCATGTACGTAAGCCTTCAACAGAGATGGCCAACAGAAATGTCTCAGTTGTAACTTGTAGTTCTTCCATGTTCTTAACATTTTTTGAAGCTACAATCTTTGTTTCCATGACAAACTGAGTTGGTGTCATAGAAATGTCTAGATTCATCTGCTATCATACTTCCTTCTCAAAAAATATTTTTTGCTAATTTCTGAAACACATTGCTTTGCCTCTGTAAAAAGCAGATGTATGTAGGGCAAAATCTTTTGGAAATTTATTTTGCTTATCCTGGCCTCCAACCGATCCCTGGGGTACTTGTATAGGCAGTCCATAGCAAAGCAATTCTTTTAAATTTACATCCTGGCTCAATTTAAATGGCTGTATAGAGCTGCCCTTGGCCACAAATCAATGTGGATATTGTATCTTAACTTTTATCAAAAAAGGAACCATCCCCTTCCCTGAATACAGTAATGAAAAGCAACCTGATAGCAACTACAAGATGTACCGACTTTCTCTACTCTCTCTGTCATGGCATCACCTCTGGTCTTTTTTGAATGGCTAGGTGGAAAATGGCACTAATTGCTCCCTGTGTATGCACAGGTGGCAACTGTGCTTTCTCATTTCTGTGGAGTGATCCTTTATTTATTCACAGGTCATATCACGATCCATAATTTTGGCCACAAAAACTTTCCTAGTCTTATACATGAGGTCAACTTATAGATGAGTATACAATATGTATTGGTTCAGCTATTGATTCAAGAACTATCATCAGAATCTTTCCTTAATGTAATTATCAGCATCTTCAAATTGAGTCACTTTATTCCACACACAATTTGAATACACAAACTTAATGTAAAACAAACTTAATGTATTGTATTTATTTAATTTTATTGTATAAGTGTAACTATATATCTTCAAGTTGGCTTTGAATCTTGGAATGATGGACTTCGAGAGCCGCAATTATGCCCTTTATACAGTTTGCACATGAGAATGCAAATCCCTTTATAACACAATTGATACAGAATTACTCTTTCCACCACATATGTACAGATTTCCCATGTTGAACAACCAGCAATGATTTAATATTATCCTATTATCCACTAAAGTCCCAATTTTCACAATGCTGGGTAACTTTTGCTCACCTGTACCATCTGAAACTCTGCTATTTGCAACTGCAAAAGGAAAGTTCACATGAATGTATGATCCTCCAAACATAATACATTTTAAGGATCTAGTACAATCAAGTCCAGTCCCTTGCCAATGCAAGAATCCATGGCTTGTTCCTCATTAAGACTCCATGCATCATGAAAACATTCTCTAGAAAACTGGAAAGCCACCTAGAACAGGCTTTTAGTGCATTTTTTCATGTCAGGAGCGACTTGAGAAACTGCATGTCACTTTTGGTGTGAGAGAATTGGCTATCTGCAAGGACATTGCCCAGGGGACGCCGGATGTTTTGATGTTTTACTATCATTGGGGGAGACTTTTCTCATGACCCTGCAAGGGGAGCTGGAGCTGACAGATGGAGCTCATCCACACTCTCCCCGGATTCGAACCTCCGACCTGTCAATCTTCAGTCCTGCCAGCACAAGGGTTTAACCCATTGCGCCACTGGGGACTCAATGCATGAAAGGCTACAGAGATCAGGGAAAGACAATATGGATGCTAACACAAGCATACCATTGGATTGAGCCATACAGCAGCTTTTTCAATTAAACCGAAATTAGAAGTGATAGCATTTACCTTCATACTTCTGATTTCCAATGGACTATTGTTCTATAAAAGTGTCTCTGGTGTAGTATTATAGCGACTGGAGAAACAAAGTACACAGTTCCCATTCTAAAAATAAAATATTGCTGGTAATTTCATTTACTTAGAATAATTGTTCATGTTTAATTATGATTTATGTTTAGGAACATTACCATTTGAAACAGTGTTCATATTTTTATGGCCAGTTTTTCTCTCTAAGAAGTGTGACTTCTGTGCTGAAAAGTTCAGTGAAAATAGTTGAAAACATAATCATGTTCTTCCTTTTTATTTAACAGAGTAGTTGAACAGAGGCATCTCGAGCTGCTCTCAAGGGCCATCAAGGTCTGAACTCATGGAAGTGATGACATTAAAACAGTGCAATGAACATTTTCTTTATTTATGTACTTACTATTAAAAGAACTGTAAATGCAATGTAAAGACTCACAGCCACACATATCCCACTGATACTCAACCTGTGTTCTTCTCTTTAATACACCTTCCACCTTAATCTATTTCTTACCAAGCATATATAAAGAAAATCACCCTCAAGGATGATATGGATTTCCCTTGTACATAATTTCTTTTTATTGCATTGCTATGCAAGCTCACCTTCTTTTTAGCTATGTTCATATTATTGTCTGTTCTTATGGTCTGTTGTATTATATGTGAATTAATAGGCTGTGGTGCCATATAATAACTTTTAATTCTGTAACTTTTTATGTTTAAAGTTTGCACTGCAATTTTTTGTTGGTGATAAGCACAAAACTCTTACTCCTCGTGACATGAAGAAGAAAAAAGACTGAATGTGAAAGGAGTCTATGTACTGTAAGCTATGTCGGATAATGGTGGATGTAATGAATTATGTTAGGTGGTTTTCCATTTGGGTGTAGAATTAGGAGGTTGACTGGCAAAACTGATGCTAGCAAAGGCATATTGGGGCATCAGGGTGGAATCCTATCTAAAATTTTAAGCAACTTGATGCTTTTACCATTTAAAATGGGTGGGTCAAATGAAGAAAGTGTTGAGTTTCAAGACCAGATTAGAATATGAAAGCCTTTTCTTTTCTTAGTATTGTTTTCTTTTGTTCAACAGTGTTGAACATATTACAAAGGAAGGAAGCTAAGGTATTTCAGTAAGGCTGTTTTTAATATAAATATATATATTACAGTTTTAAATAATTACTATGATTGGTTTTCTCTTCCTTCCAGGAAACATGAACCATATGAATTAGAGGAAAATCTAGCAAGGGTTATAGGTGCAATTTATGACAGAGATATCCAAGCTGCTTCCAAAAAGGCTAGACTGTGGCCCTATTTAGGCATTTTAACACATGTATTCTCTGCCTGGGAGAAGGGAGAATGGTCACAAGTATTCACCTCATACCTGTTTTCATAAACTACCACATGTAGTCTTTCTTATCCTTAAAGGCTCTCTACATAATTTGCAGATTATGTGGGAGTGTCCATGTATACAAGGGTCTACACTAGAGAAAGTATATAGATGATGGATAACTAAAAGGGGATGGTGGAAGCAGAGCTAGCAAATTTGTGCACAGTCTTCCGTCTCGTGTATACTTACTGACTACAAGCATTAATATGCCTCAACAAGGCTTATTTTAGTTCATCTTTCCAATACATGTACAATACAATGGAAGGTGTAGAGCTACATCACTTGAAATTCATGACATAACTGTTTTTACACAGTCTAGACATGTTTTATTGTGTTTTATTATCTAAAACTGCCAGAATTTGAAGCCCAGTTCGTTTGTACTTAATCCACTGAAAAGAAAGCAGTGATAAATCTGTGGTCATTTTGAATTGAATGTCTTTTGCCAATTCATGACATTGTTGGAAATTGGATAGAAACAAGAAAAAGAAAACATCTTTGATATGTTTTTGATAAGTAAAATTCAACCCTCTTCTTCTTATGAAAACATGATGCATGTTTATACACTTTTTGAATAAACCAAACTCTCTGTAAGTGGACATTTACAAAAGCATCTTGTGTCATCATTAGTTCTCATGACTTTCTCCAGATTTTTGACAGTATTTTTAGTTTTTGTTTGGAATACTGTACCTGTATCTCAAATGCATTGAATATTTGCTTTGAAGTTTACATCACAGAGATGATTTCATTTAGTCATGTCTTTTTATCAGTCTCCATTTAAACACATCTTACATATCAGTCCATGTTGATTGCTTTCATACTTACAATCATGTAAATCGGTGCTTTAGAGCATACAAATAAATCTATTAGATATGTGTTGCTTTTTATTACATTAAGTTTGGATTGTTTATAGGATAGGACATTTTCAGCACTGCAGTTATCAATTTATCTCATTTATCTGAAGACAGGACATTGGTGAACCAAAAAAAAAAGTTGGCACATATCAACAAGAAGACTTTTTTTTTTTTGCCTTTGTGAGCAAGGAATTGACATGATATTCCTGTTTATTAAAATGCTGGATATAGTTAAAGCCATTGTTTTATAAATGTACAGAACATTCAACAAATGTATAAATTCCATTCCTTTTTTCCTGAATTTAATATGTTAATATGAAGATAGGCACCGTGTTCCAGCAATAGTGAGGTCAGAAACAGGTTTGTGTAATAGAGATCCAACAAATTGCTTTAAAGGAAAGAAAAATCTCAACACCTCCAGCAACCTACCTGAGCACTTGGCACTAGATGCAGAGTCTTCCTACAACCATAATATTGGATCAATGCCATGAGAAGATTCCACATGAAATACTTCACAGCACAGATCAATTGTTATGTGTTAATAGGAAAATAAAAGTGAGTCTTGAGCCTCTTCTGCCATTGCAGCTCATCTGGTGATCAGGGTTGCAGAGGGCTTCATTCAGAAACTTGTGGTAGCATTGATAGTTACTGATAAGTTGAGATAATTCCTTCAGAGGTTCCATTTCCCAACTGAAGACTCTTCTGAGTTACACAGAATTTCTATGCTCCAGCCATACTTGTATGTGCCTCAGCTTTTTCTGCTATGGGCTATTTTATAACAAAGGGCTCATGTTTTTAAAAGCCCTACAATGTGATTTAGACTATGATCTAGGCAATCCTTACTAGTCAGCAATCTGTAAACTTCAAGAATCAGGACAAACAAACAAAAGTTGGCTCATGGTCTAACAGCAATAGATTAATAAAGAAGTGATATATGAGGATATATGCAGCAGTTTAAGGAAACCGCCCAATAAATAGAAAAGATGAGTGAGAAACCATCACTCGGGCTATTCCAATTATACAATGGCTTTGAGCTTAAAGCTGTTTTGCATATTACTCAAAGTTACCTGTGTAGTTGGGTTCATGCTACTTGAGGAATATCAGTGGTTTCCATTCATGAGGCAAATCCACAGAAACTAACCATGTAATCAGGCCTAACTATACCAAAGTGAAAAAAAGTCTGAAGAAAATGCACAAGTGGGTTCTACAACCATTCTTTTCCACATAGTGTTAAAACAAGACCATGTAGTTGATCCAAAGTATAATAGGTACCTAGTAGGTCTGTTCTACCTCCAGAATGCATGGGAATAAACAATGTATATGCAGGAAGAATTTAAGGGCACACTGAAAGAGTTGAAGCTCCAAATGCACTCTGTACATGAGCTTCCTATATATATTAACTGGGTCTTCAAAACCTGTGTTGTGCTTTGGTGGGACAGCTTATGGGCAATTTCCCTTCAAAATTCAACCCGAGGAAAAGTAGCCATCCCCAGTTCTTGAGATGTATGTCTTAATATTTTCAGTTGGCAAGTTTTGTGTCAGTATTAAATCTGTGCAGTACTATAATATCACTGTTTATTATTGGCTACTATACAGTTGTACTTACTGAGTTTTTTTTAAAAAAACATGATCCTATGAAGAGGGTACTTTAATGTATAGCAAATCCCCACTCATTTGAAAGGTGGTTTTCTCTTTCTCTCCTTCTCTCTCCCACTGTCTTTCACTTATTCAATGTACTTCCAATGATCACAGAACATATTTTTAAAATGTACTGTAATTTACCATTTTTAAAGAAAAAAGTTTTTTTCCTTTTTTATAATTGAAATATTTCTTGTGCATAATGTGTCTAAAGGAAAGGGGTTTAGTGGCAGCACTTAGAACTGTTTTCTAATTTTTTTTATAAAATTGTTTATTGGCAATGGTTTGTTCAGTCACACGCAAGAAGATTATGACCTCTTAATGTGTTTCATGTGTTAGTGAAGCAAAGTTTAATGGGCATAAAGTTGGTTAATTGTAATGTTGAGTGTGTATTGTATATTTACTGGGGAAAAATAAAACTTCCACATTTCAAATCCATGTTAAGGAAACTTGAATTTAGCACTCTTTCAATACATGATGGCCACAGGGATTGGAAATGGAAACAATCAAGAAATGATCAAGTGTAATGTTTTTCTCTATATATACCATTATACTTACAGAAAGGCTGACCCTATGGAGTGTTGTTTTTTTATACTCACCAAATTGTCTTTGGGTGTCATCCAGACTCATCCACATGCAATTGTCATAGCAAAAACAGACCAAACCTCTTCCTCCTCTTTCTCCCAACATCCCTTCCAAGAACCTGCAACAAGAAAATGGCACAAAGAAAATGATACACAGAAAATGGTTGCTCAGACACTCAGTTGGATGGCATGACTTGTGGCACATGGAGAAAGAAAACCCACAGGTGTAGTTATGGGGGGAGGAACTGGAAGTATGTCTAAGCCTGCTGTATCAGCCTTCAAAAGATGCATCTACACTATGGAAATGAATACAATTATATACTACTTACCATGGCATAATGCTATGGAACCATGGGAATTGTAGTTTGGTGGGACACCAGCACTCTTTGGCAGAGAGGGCCTTGTAAAACAACTACTCCCATGATTCCATAGCATTGAACTATGGCAGTTACAGTGATACCAACTGAAATAAAGTGAAGTGAAATTAATTCTACCGTGTAGATGCACCTGTAGTCATTTAGTATAAAACCATATATAATTAATTTTATACAATGAAGTGTAAGACTGCACAGAATATTGCAGGAGGTTCTATATTGTCTATCTGGGGCACACTTCCCAAACTGGAGGGGGCACACTTGGTATACAGCAGTTGAATACGACTGTATCTGATCATCATACCATGGCTAAAGACTATCAATCTGGAATCCAGAACACAGATATAGGAACTGATTATGGTTATGCAGCTTTTTCCTTATCAACAACATAAATGTACACCCTTTGAATATGCAAGTCACATTTGAATACTCAAAAAGAAAATAACAATTTGCATGAGGCTGAAAACATATGGTCTGATTAAAAGGTATACTATTCAATGAGTGATATATACAATATGAAAAATGGGTTTGGAGAGAGAGCATGAGTAGCCATTTGCTTCCCCCAAGTACTAGAAAATACAGTCAGTCCTTATTATCCTTGCCTGCTTGGGGTCTGCAGTTTTCTGTGGTATCAATTGGCTGTGCTCCTGCCTGTGCTTTCCTGTACATTAATTGGAACTTCATACCACCAAAACAGCAAACACTGGAGAAAGTACCTCAAAAATCCCAACCCTGTTCAACTTGCTTGTCTCAGTACCCCAACCCAACCTTTCATGTTGAAAGGAATGAATTCATTTGAACTGTAACTTTAATTTTCAACCTGAAGACAGCTCATATGTATTTCAGAATCTGAGGGGCAGCCATTCAAAGACCATTTAAAGTTAAGCCCAGAGTTCAAACAGCAAAAACAACAAGAGGTATAGTTGTGATGCCACAGCTATAGGTTAGAAAATGTTACTTTAATTCATTTATCTTGCTTCCCAGTTGAACATTTTATAGAAGAGAAAAATAATAAACCATTCTGTAGAACATTAACTTGCTGAAAGTCTGCTAATCTGTGAGTGTTATGTTTTTGTATCTCTGGTTGTATTACCATTTCTCAGATGAATATATGACTTAGGATACCTGTGCTCCCCCGAAAAATAGAAATCTCTTACATGGCTGTAAAATCTGCTCTTCCTACAATAACTATTCACTTTAGAATAGTTTGCCTCCACAGATTTAAAAATCAAGATGATGCTTTGGGGGTTTTTTTGTGGGATTTTTTGGTTCAACACATACTTTTAAATAGGATCATAGAAAACATTACCAACAGTTTAAAATATACTTCTATGGATGCAGTTTGAGAATGGTCAGTTTCCATGTGTCGTTGTATACATCCATGTGAGATCACAAGCATGTGCACTATATCAATTCTTCATGCATAGTTTGCAGTTATAGGGTCCCTGGGGAGAGAGCTAAAACTAAAGAATGACAATAGTGGCATATGCAAACAAAAGCTCAACATATGCACATATTTTTTTAGTTTCTACAGAGATCGGCTTTCTCTTCCTCACTCCATAATGACTAAAGGACAGCCCTTTAGAGTCATTGTTTCACTGTGATACCCCCACATACACTGCCATAATTCTAGTGGGGGAGGGGGAAACAGAGAAGCATATGCTATGATGTCATAAGATGCAGAATGATTACATTATCAACATAGACTCCAACAGATCATAAACTGACTGATAAGCAACTAAATGGCCATGGAATGACGAGTGGAATGGCAGCAAAATGGTGAGTCTCAGAATGATGAGAGGAGAACCAAAATGCAGTTCTATATGAGAAGCTTTCATGCTATACTCAGTGATATTAGGTCTTTGCTAAACATGTTGTTTTATTATTGTGTTGTACGTATATATAGCTTACCCATGGAAATTGTGTTATATAAAGTACTGGATGCTTCCTTATAGGTAAGCAGTCCATCAGCCGGGTAGGCATTGTGTACTCCTTAGCTGACTGCAAAGACAGGCAGGCAGGGTGGGAAGGAAGACACTGAGTAGGACCAAGCTCTTGGCAGCTTTTTGGCAGTGAGGGTCTTCCCTCCATGTTCCATTACATACCAGTTCCCCACCCCTGGTCATCACTCTGGCCGGCATCACCTTCACATCCCCCAGACCCACCGCCATCAGACCTCACAATTTCCACTACACCCCTCCCATTAAATCATTCCATGAAATCACTCATCCTCCTCACTCTGTTTTTCCCAATGCTTCCCACAATCCTTCTCTTTGCAGTGCAGTCATTCACACATTATTTTCTTCTCACACATTCCTATCTTACCCCCCAGCCAGGCCCTATCACCTCCAATTCTCTCTCAGGACTGGGGATGCCCTTCCCATCTAGGAATGGCTCTCAGGAAAATAGTGTGATTTATAGTTTTCCTCTCCCCAAGCAATGGGGAGGGGAAAAACATTTGTCTGCCTCCCACGAGCGAGGGAGGGGTTCCTTAGGAACCTTCTAGAGTGGCGGGGGGCGTGGCCTGTGCGCAGGCCGTGCCCAAGCGGGCGCATTCGGCGCCTAGAAGTTGGGACGGCTGGACGTGCGGCGGATTGCTCAGGATTGTGAGCGAAGTCTTAGGAGAAGCTGAGAAGAGGAGCTGAGGGCAGAGAAGAGGAAGAGAGGAGGTTGCAAAAAAAAGGAGAGAAGAGGAGGAAAACAAGCCGACGGCGACAGATCAGTCGAGCAGTGAGTTACGGGGACGGCTTGAGTGTATGGGAGTCAAGGGCGTCGGCCAGGGGGTTGCTCCAGTTTAATGGGGTGTTGGTGATCTAACCACCCCCCCCCTCCGTTTTCCGCTGTCTTTTATTTGGTGCCCAGCCATGGCAGGGGCGGGGAGCCTGGTAGTACGCGCCTAAACTGCATTATCTGCCCCCCCCCTCCCTCTTACGGTTGTACCTTACCGTCCACGGTTCAGGGCCTTTCCGGCGGTGTGGTCGGGAGTCGGGGGGTGGCGGTTAAGGGCACTTGTGTGGGGATGAGGATTGGGTCGTTTTTGCCGTGTGCCCGCCTTCTCCCTGTGCCGTCCTCGGAGTGACGCGGGATGTGCTCGAAGGCGGAGCAGGCCGGCAGGGCAGCCGAAACAGTGTGCGGGGAGTTTTTCGGCCTCCTCTGCGTCTCTGTTGCCGCGCCGCCTTTCTTGGGGCCTGGTGGCGGTTTGAGACAGGGATCGGCGTGTCGAGATGTCTCAACCCTCCCACCCCCCCCCCTCCTTTCTCGGTTTAGTTTGATATGCGGACCGGGCCTAGCCGCCGGTGCCAGCGGTGCGCCGGCGGCGGGTGCTTGGTCGGGCCTGGTGCGGTGGTTTTGGTGGCCGATTGGTCACGCGGCTGCATGGCCTTGGGGGGTAGCTGCTCGTGGTCCCTAACGGATTTCCCGCCGCCTATTAGCACGGGCTTTTCCCGGGGGCAGGGCCTCTCCTGCAGTAGTGGGGACGGCGTGGTCGGGCGCTGTCTTGGGCGCCATTTTGGCGATGTTTGGTCGCCATCGTTGCTAACGCTCGGCCGTCATTTTTGTCAAAATGGGTGCCGGAGTATGATTGACGAACAGCACTGCGAGCCCACTAGGCGGCCCATAATGGCTGCGACAGCATGCGGGCGGTTAAGCTGGAAGCGCGCTCGGCGCGTGTTCGGGGTGCCCGGGATGTTTGGCTCTGATAGCTCGGGCGCTTGGCCTGGCTTTTCATCCCTCTGTGGGGTAGGGCGGGCCGGTTTCAAGGAGTGATGGCCGCTTTTTTGCTGGCTGGGTGGTTTTTCCTAGTGCGATGCGGCCGCCATCTTGGTGACGATGCGGCCGTCATTTTTGGGGGCTGGACAAACGCCAGAGGTTGCTTGGTGGCTTATAGGTTGGTCCCGTATTATTATAGATATATATATTAAAAATAATAAAATAATATAAAATAATAATAATAATAATAATAATAATAATAACAATAATAAAAATAAATAAGAATATTATTCTAATTACGATTGGTGATTTTGTTAGCGATAAAGGGGACACTCTGGTGTCTCGTTAATGCAAATGTGGGTAGATCAATAGATTTCAGCTCTGACTTTGATTAAAGCCTTATAAGTGAGCTGTTGATGGCAGCCTCTGCTTGGTTTATTTCATTAGGCTTCGGTCTTTGCAAATGTGACTAGATCAATAGGTCTCGGTCTGGTTTGGTGTTGCAAATGGTTGGCTTTTGGAGTGTTTCGAATGGATCTGGAGCGGGTATGGTATGCAGGCGGCATAAGCTGCTGCTGGCATGGGGGTCCTTGGTGGGGGCGGCTAGCACAGCTATTTTCATGTCGGAAGAGTCATCTCAGTTACTGGAGGTAAACCAGCCCTACATTCACCGGCATACCCATTGTGACATGACCATCATTGATTTTTCTTGCAGATGGCGCCGAAGAAGAACGTGGGTGGCCCCAAAGGAAAGGGACCAGCTAAGAA